TTAAATCAGTGTACAACACTACTAATTGGCGAGGTAAAAAAAAAACGAAGTTCAAGGAAGAAAGGTAGTTTTTAAGATTTTTCATTAGAGGATGGTGTTTTTAAATTGAGACTATAAAATCAAGATTGACATTTATTATTGTTATTATTATTATTATTATAACATAGCAAATAACATCTATTAACCTTATTCTTAAATATCAAGAGATTAGGAGATTAGAAGAAAAATTATCTGAAAATTATATTATTTCAATAAATTTTCATTGAAAAATATTAAAATATCCAATTTTTAAAGCATGAATTAGAGTGTATTTAGTTATTTCTTATGATATTTCATTAAAACTATATAATTTAAAATAATTTTTGTTTTAATCTGTAATTAGAAGGTAAAACATATAAATACTAACAATATATATACACACATAAAAAAGTAGGTATTTTAAGTAATTAATGTAGTTACATCTTAATCTTAATGAGGTAATAGGAAACCTTTTTCCCCTGTTTGTTTCGACGGAAAATATACATAAAAGTCATGTTGGCAAAAACTCTTAGAACTTTGAATTAGTAAATCAACAATATACCATACATTTGTGCGGACAACCTTAATTAGTTACCCGACATTACTAACTCAATTAAATTACCTCCTTATGAGGTAATTATTACCTAATTATTTTTATCTTCGTTCATTTTAGGGCCATCTAATTTTTTGTTTAGGTTATAAGTATATAGGTAACTTTGGCAGCTGCCTAAGCCCCTGGTCTTCTGTAATTCTTCTTCTACAATAAACTCTTCATGGTTGCTCATTAAAAAAAAAAAAAAACGATAATATTGCTAATAAAAAACAAATTGCAAAGAATTTGCAGCTTTTCCTAGTTCTACAAGTTAAAATAGAAAAAGAATAGGTTTCATTGGCTGTGATCAAAACCTTTAGGGAGTTTCAATTACAATATCTTACAATAGTTACAAGACATTAAACAAGATGTGTTAAGTGAAAAAATCCTATATTGAAAGATATAATAAAAAATCATATGATTTAAATATAAAGAAAATTAATCTATTTATTATTAATTGATTGTAAACTAAATGCAACCTTTGTATTGAAACTCACTTGTTCAATTTTCACATAATATGTATATTTCATTAAGTGAAAAGAGTTTCTCACAATTTCATTGAAAAAAACTAGCGAGTATCTAAACAGTCAACCAAATTAATTAAATTACAAATTACCCTGCATAAGATGAGATTAAATTTATACAAAGGATGGTTTGAACTTATAACTACTCTTCACGCCACAAAATCCATATTAACTCCATGGAATGATTGTTATATAACATCATCATACCAGCTTTGGTTTCAAATTTTAGGAAAATAATTTATACAATTTCAATTTAACACATTTTCTAATATTGTTTCAATTTAATTATTAAAATATAATATAAATAAAGCAGATTTAGTCAATTCTTACATTATATATAATTATATTTTTATATTTATTTGTTTTTAATTTTAAATCAAAAAACAATAATTTTTAATAAATATATAGTGTATTTAACGAAATATGTACTTAACATTCTCCCGAAATTTATTGATTAATTGATTCACTCTAGGCTTGAACACCCCTCATTTGCTTTTCAAGGAAGCCACCAAACTCAACAGCAATTTAAGTTCCGTTTCTGGAACGATTACAGCGAAATGACCTGTGGGCTCAAGCCATGTGCCCCTGTTTGTCTGTTTGAACAAATTTTATCCTCAATTCTTTCCCATCCCCACCATGCAATTTCCAGATAATACATCCATCATTTTGTTTTATTCATGACGCAACAGGAATCGCCATCTTAACTCATCAACAGAAGAACATATAAACACAAACACTCCATTCAAACTTCTGTACGTCCTCTTTCAAAATCTCTCCATCAGTCATCACCACTTTGTTTGTTAAAGATGAAAGTTAGACACGATTGTCCCACACCTATAACGATGTGAATTCATGATGCATAAACGTCACTTCAAAGAAGAAAAGAAAAAAAAAAAACCTTCAATTGTGAGATAAAAAAACGACCTTTTCTAAGCAAATTATTATAATAGAGGGTGTTATAATTATTATTTTAATATTAATTAAAACATTAATAAAATAGTATTAATATTGAAATTTCTTAAAAAAATTTAAACTTTAATATTACAATTACTTAAATTACACTCAAAATATTTTAGCATAATACCTTTGTATTGAAAATTAAGTAACCTAATTTCTTTTTTTTGATAGTGAACGTGATAACTATATATGACTCTATATATCAACATTTATAATTTTATTGAGAGCTAATCCCTTCTGAGTAACTTTCATTTTCATTGACCGTCACTATTAATAATTGGATGTTGCAGTTGGTTAAAGACTTGAAATTTTGACTGGGTTGCAGATAAGGCTTGGTCTTGCCAGACTCTTCTTTGAGGTTGCAGTTTTCTTATTAATTTCTATCTACGTGGCTGGCAGCGGGAACTGCCCCAAAATTTTAAAAAATAGATTAAATGTCAGTTTCAGTGCTCAAATTTTTTATTTCTAATCTTTTTAGTTGTTAAACTATTTTCAGTATTTTTTAGTTTCTTAATTTTATAAATGGTACTTTTTTTTGTTATTTCATTAGTTAAGTAATGATATGGCCATAAATTTTTAAATGACATGTTTATTATAAATGAGTCATTTAATTTAATTGAGTAAAATATGTAGCGTCCATGTCGATAACTTTAGTTTAAATAGATAAAATAATAGATTATAAAACCAAAATTGTAAACTAATTAAATTTGCTTATAAATTAAAACATTAAAACTTATAAATAAAAAAAAATACCTCTAAAATCTTTTTCTTCCTTGTCAAACTTCTTTTCCACCAGGAACATTTTTTAGCACCGTGAGTCTAACGTAAGCTAATTTAATGATACGTGATTATCATATCATTAAAAAAAAGTGTCATTTTAAATACAGTTAATAGTAACACCATCATTTAACTAATGGAAAAATGATAAAAATATAATTTGTAGAGTTGAGGGACTACAAAAATATTTAAAATAGTTTAGAGACCAAAAGTGTTTAAAATGAAAATTTTAAGGATTAAAATTGACATTTAACCTAAAAATTGCTAGTATTGTTTTAGGAAAATAGTCTGTCTAGTCCAAATTGGTATGTTCAAGTAAAACGCAACCCTAGAATGTGGCCCTTCTGTCCCTTTTCCCTCTAATAGCTGTTTTTTTTGTTTTCTATTGGCCACTCTGATGGTTGTGGTTTGATTGTACAATATGATTAATTTTGCCAGTGTCAAATGAAAAAATTATTCTGCTTATGTTAAGTACTTGAATTTAAAATCATTTTACATTTTTTTACTAGAGGTGCTGATGGATCCCCAAGATTTTCTTCTGCTGGTGCAATCCAGTGAAGTGGTTAAAGGACACAAAAGTCAAAAAATTGCTTAAATTAAGGGGAAATTGGGCTTGACTTCTTTAATGGTCTGGGTATTTGTGATTTCCTTTTTGGGTTTTATAAAGTTGAATTGTTGAAACTAGCCATTTACAATTAGTTCTTTTTTAAAAGTTTTGCTTATGATATGATTAATGATTTAAATAATATAATTATAATTTTTTAAATATAAATAAAACATTTTAAATTTAAATTAAACAATATATAAGTAAAATTAATTAAAAAATAAAAAAATATTATCTTTTACTATACAATTTAAAATAAAAAAGAAAAATTTCTTATGATATAACCACTAGCTAAGGATTTCAGAGAAACAAGCTGTTTAGATGCTGGTGGATGTCCCCTGTAGTACCATGCACCTAACTTTTGGGAAAGTTTTTTTCCGGCGAGTCCGAGATTTTTTACCTGAAAAAAAAAATTAAAGCAGAAGAGCCGAGTATAAAAGTATAACCTCGAAGCAAAATCAGGCCTCAAGCAGAACAACTAATTCAAATCATTGCTTCCTCAAATTCTAGAAGACGCAAACCAAACACAGCTTATAGCCAATAAGATAAAAGCTTAGTGGTTGTATGCATATTTTAAAAGTCAGGGCATAATGAACGACTTCAAATCACAATGGAGAAAAACACAACTTTTTAAAATATTTTGATATTAAAGTAAGCATTATTTACATTTGTTTTATGGTTAGGCTTTATTTTATAATTTTTTTTCCGAACATTTTATAGGTTGATAAAGCTAAACAAAATATAATTTTTATTTTTATTCATCAAAACAATTGATGGCTAATTTTTATATATTCTAATGAAAAAATTTAATTACACAATATCAACTATTAGGTAGAGGCAAACACTTTAATATTGGGAGTTGTCCCATAATCTAATTATTTATATTTTATAATTTAATGCGATTCAAATTATAAAATAAAAATTTTTATTGTAATATATTACTTCACTATACTGCAAAATATGGAACTCTACCCTACTATATATAAAGGTAAAATTTTAATGTTGGTCCCTTATCTTTGGGGGTCTTTATTTGGTCCTTAAATTAAATAAATCTCTATTTTGATCCTAAAATTTTATATTTTGTCTCTTGTTTAGTCTTAAAAGAAGGATTTAATTAGTTTAAGATCCAAATCAGAGATCTATATAAAAATTTAAGGCCCAAATCAGAAGTTAATCTAATAATAATTTTGTAATTAATTAAAATTTTAAAACTAATATAGAGAATACATTTTGTTTGCATTATTAAATTTCCAAGTCATTAATTTGATAGAAGAAACAGGTCCTGACATCAATTGATACCCAATAGAAACTAAAATTTAAGGAAAGAACCTAAAAGGAATATGAATTTAAAATTTTAAGGACCAAAACAAAAATTTATTTAATTTAAGACCAAATCCAAGGTCCATGTCAAAGTTGAATGATAAGGTTTAACCTTTTTTAAAACAAACAAACAAAGTTTCAAACTTTCTTTTCAAACTGAATCATTCAAAGTTCATGGGGTTTTCCTCCCAATCCAAGTTTTTTATCCAACTTCTCGGAATCAACCAAGACAAAGCTCAGGTGGATTCTACTTTTAGCAGCTCTTCACATTTTATATACAAGAAAAACAATTTTTAATTTTTCTAAAAAATAACGCTTCCACACCTAGAGCTGGCTGGTAGCCGCCGGTGGTCCCAACTCCCCAAAGGCAGGAAGAGGAGGAGGAGGAGGAGGAGGTGGATGAGGCCGCCTGTCACGGTGGAGGATGTCAGCACACCGTGGGTCCTACGGTTGGTATTTTGTGGGCACCGGTGACAACCCTATCTGAGATGGAAAGAACGAATGATACACGTCAGTCAGCTGCAAACAATTGGGCACTCCACGTCACCACGAGACGTTAGCAATATAATATAAAAATCATACAAAGTACTTCCTTCCTTAGTTGACCTTACCCGCTTAACTCCCCTTTATAACTCCCCATCTACTTGGTATTTTTTGGTACCTGCCCTTCCTTCTGTTCTCTCATCTCTCCCTTGCCATTTGTTTCCTTTCTTCTTCCTCCTCTTCCTTCATCCTCTTCAAATTCGAGTGTGATCAAATCTCAACCACAAAAATGAGTAACATAAGCATGGTGGAGGCGAACCTGCCACCGGGATTTCGATTCCACCCTCGAGATGAAGAGCTCGTCTGTGATTACTTGATGAAGAAGGTGACTCGTTGCGACTCCCTTCTCTTGGTCGAAGTTGACCTCAACAAGTGCGAACCTTGGGAGATTCCCGGTGAGTTTGTTTCCCTCAGTTTTTGCTTATTTCATATGTTGTCTATATTTATGTCTATACTAAAGTAGGACTGCATTTAACTTTTACATATTACCCTGCATAAAGATTTAGAGCAAACAGAACTGTTTTTTTAAGTGCTCTAAATTTTTTCTCTCTTTTAATTTTTATTTAAAAATAGGATTTTTCCAAAATTTTTGTGCTTTGTTAGTGGTAAGGTGATAGCAACTCTATTGGTTGTAAATGGGTATAATTAGGATGAGGTATCACGTATGTGCATATTCGATTTTTGTGATCTACATAGAAGACTATTTACTGTATTAATTAAAAAAATTAGTGGTATATCTTGGGGAAAAAAAATCCTAATAATTTAGAGATCATTTATTTAAATTCCATGCAGAAATCCTATGAAGTATTTCCTATTGCTAGGTTTAATAAAAATATGTTTTTTTTATATTTTATTTTGCAATTATTGAATTTTGTGATCATAAATTCATTGCTTTCCCCTCAACCAAGCACCCCTGAGATTTTTTTTTCTACAAAGAAAAAACATTACTTCAAATGAAATTGTTTTTAATTATTTTCTTCTCACACAAAAAATTAACAAATTCATTTCTGCAGCTTCAGATCATCGACATAAAGAACAGTTTAATTTTCCTCTTTAAATAATTTTCTTGGTCCCTCTGTCTATCATTTCTGTATTATTTTCAATTATATATATAATAAATTTTTTTCTGTTTATTAAAATATTAATTATTATTAAATATTTAAATTAAATTGTCTTTGTTAAGCTCATATCAATGGGTCAATAATGCTCCAACTGTATATCTCTGTATTCTTATCAATAATTTTGGAAAGCTACTTTAGGCTCTTCTGGAGATACACATCCAAACAAAATAGTTATGAATGGTCTTAAATCCTCCAAAAATATCGATCTTGACCAATTGGATCCAACATCCCTCAACTAATTTCTTTCAAAACTCATCTACCAATTTCGTCCTCTACATCTTTTTGAAGAAGTTGACAGTTTTGTCCCAAGTTCCCAGCCTCAAACTGTGATGTCGACCTATTCCAAAGTCATCATACACCTCTCTTTTATATTTTCACAACCATGGTCATCAAATAAGGCTTAACCCGAAATGGGTTAGACATAAGTTAGTTGATATTGAGATTTGTTCTACGTTCTAAACAATTCTAAGTTCGAATTGTTTAATAAAACAATTCAAACTTTCATGTCCCAATCATCATTAATCTCTACTTATAATTTCCTTGTGATTTTCAAACCGTATAAAATACTTGTTTATGATAATTTTTACTTCATGTGCCATTGCCAAAACGACATACATATACTGATATACATACCCAAAACGAACGTGTAAGCAAAGCAAAAACCTTTTGTCTCTTTACTAAATTTCACTATTACCTTCAATAATTTTCCATTAAGTGACAGAAATTGACACCTCAACAACAGATTAATTGTACTTTGTCAGCAACAGTGAGATCCTCCCCACATTTTGGCCTCTGATTTGTCCTTTTCATATCCATTTCATCACCATATACTTATATAAAATTTTTAATTTTATATATAGTATATACCTAATATTCACTATCTCATTGCAGAAACTAATTGCAATTTGGAAAAGGATTTTCTTCAATTATCCAATAGGAATGAGAACACAAAAGTAGTTAGAATTATTGTTTTCATCGAAACAATTTTATTTTCTGGTATTTGTCTATTAAGAATTTTTTTTTTGGGGGGGGTGGGGGTTAAGATTATGCTAATTACAGTTTGTTTTGGATAAACATTTGCAGAAACAGCAAGTGTTGGAGGTAAAGAATGGTACTTTTATAGTCAGCGAGACCGGAAATATGCAACCGGACTTAGAACAAACCGAGCAACAGCCTCCGGGTACTGGAAGGCTACCGGAAAGGACAGGGCGATCCTTCGGAAGAACACACTTGTTGGGATGAGAAAAACCTTGGTGTTTTACCAAGGGAGAGCTCCAAAGGGGAGCAAAACAGATTGGGTCATGCACGAGTTCAGAATTGAAGGACCCCTTTCCCCTCCTCAGATACTAACTCTCAAGGTATATGTATATTGACCAATCACCATATATAGACTTACAAAACCAAATACACATCATAGAACATTTAAAAAGTTAAGAAATTTAGTTATTTAAGAAGTATGAATAGATATTAACTGTGTTGAAAAGATATACAAATCTCTGTTATAGCATAGGATTTTTTGGAGAACAAATATAAATGGTAATGGTGTATTTTTGCCTTTTTCTTTTTCTGTATAAAAAAAATTGCCAATATATTTTCATAGTGTAATTTACCCTAATTTACAAAACCCAAGTCAAAATTTCTAAGTTCTGAGGTCTTGGAATAATTTCGTTTGCATAAATCTCGGGGTTGTCTGCAATAAACAACTTGTTTAATTATATATACTAATAAAGTATATTATGTCGGTCAGATGTCTCTCCTCATACCCTAATCATTTTTCAATCATGCAATATTTAAATCATTTTATTTATGCCTGGACAGCCTAGTCTTCCTCTTTGTCTCAGCCATTACTAAAACCAAAGGAATTGGATTCTGATATCATTTTGCAGGAAGATTGGGTCTTGTGTCGAGTGTTTCACAAGAACAGTGAAGCTCCGGTGGCGATGGCAGCCAAACCTAGCATGGGCAGAACCTGCTATGACGACACAGGTTGCTCTTCTTCCCTCCCACCTCTCATGGATTCTTACATCACATTTGACCAAACTGAACCTCCCAAGTTCTTCGATGAGAATGAGCAAGTGTCCTGCTTCTCCATTTTCAATTCAGACCAACCCAATAACTCTCCTTTTTCTCACATCACCCACATGGAAGACCCCTTAATGCCCACGAAAAACCCTAGCCTTCTTGGACAATTGCCGATGACAAGTGCTTGGGTAGACCCTTTTCCTTGTGACAACAAGGTGATAAAAGCTGTGCTTAGCCAACTTACAAGGATAGATGACAACAATGTTCATGTGAAAGGGTCATCAGCAAGCTTAGGAGAAGGGAGTTCTGAGAGCTACTTATCTGATGTGGGGATGCCCTACTTTTGGAATAATGACTATGATGTTTAGGACTAATTGAGGGAAAATAATTAATATATTCTTCGATTCAACACACTCACTAACACATACCAATTCAGCTATTAAAATCTTAGTTTTAAATTTTCTCATCTTAAAGTTAAGTTTAAAAATCATAATTTCTTAATGTTTGTGTTGTGAAGTGTGTTGAACCGAAGGATGTCTATGTCGATGTCTCTAATTGAGACTTTGTAAATCATTCCTTAAGTCCAAGATAGTCGCTTGTTGCATCACATGTAAAGAACATGCGATGATTAGTACTTTGTGGATTTACCTTCTTCCCAACAAGCATGGGAATCTTCTTTTCTCTCTCTCGCTCTTTTTTTTTTTTTTAAGTTACGAATGCGTTTTTCTTTATCAGATGCTAAATTGTAGATGTAATTGAACATTGATTAACAACCGTGAAGTTTTATTTTGGCATCAAAGTGTAGCTTCTAAACATAAGATTGAGGCAGGGGCGGGGTGGGGGTAAGGTAGATTAAAAAATAAAAAATAATTATCTTTCATTGTGTAATTTAAAATAAAAAAATAACTTCTAAACATCTACTTTCAGTATTATTTCCAATATAATTCAGAATTTGTTATAGAATTACAAACAATGCCAGGAGGAAGGAGTGTATACATTTACTTGCATAATTATTTGAATTCCTAACCATCCAATGTTTCTGTCACCCCAAAATCCACAACACATAACATATAGATTCAGGCACCAGAATATATCATGAAATGAATATTGTAAAATTTTAAAACAATCCAGGAATCAAATAATTTTGAACACCCTATAACATAGTAGCAGAATGATACAACATTAACGAATTTAGACACTTTATATTTTTTTTATGTATATCTCACTTAAGTGATATACTCTCGTATTTCAACTTTTTTTTTATGCATTCTCTATTTTAACTAATCAGGACGCTTATTGTAACCTTTTTTTTTTCTAACTTCTGAAATACGTAGGAAAAAGTATAGACTAATGTATCGTGAAGTTTCACTTAAAATTGCCAACTCAAAATATAAATTTTCAAAACGTTCTAAAGAAATTTGCTTTGGATCAAAATTTCCATCAAAATACCAAGACTTTGGAGACCTTGACATTGATATCCAATTAAGTTCTTCCTTTCAATCTAGTCAGAGACATCATTTAAGTTGCGTATAGGAATTAAATTTAATAATTAATGTTATCACTTCCAACATTTTAATAACAAAAAACTTAGAACTAAGATTGAAAATCACTTTCTTGTTTTTAAATCGGTATGAAATTTAAATAGAACTCACGAATCAAAATTAATATTAAACAAAAAGAGAGTTTTCATGTGCAATTAAGATAATCCCTCAAGAAATACAACTAAAAATTTTAAATCAATACTTAAAGAAACTAATTTATTTGAACACACCAAGTTAATACGAGACTGCACCCTTTAGATTTTTCAAAAAAAAAAAAGAAAAGCGTAAAACTAAGTTAAGGATACCCTAACCATCCACACCAAGAAAGAGATTTGATGATATCTGTACGACTTACATGGATACTAACCCGGTGTATCCAACATATTCCATAACCGTTTTAGAATCGTGCACATGTGAAATGTGTCTGAGACTACCAGAGGATGTCACAAGCAATAAATTGTTTATTAGTAGCTACAGTAAGCTTTTTTTATTGCGTATATACAACGCAAACTTTCTTGTATTGCTCGCTAATACAGAAAAATTTCGACCAATCCAAGGATTTCCGAAAAACAAAAAATCCCACAAAATTCAATATTTATAAATAAAAATGTAATCATTAAACAACACAAAAAAAGACCGACAATTTTCACAATTCAACTATAAGACTAGCATTGTTTGACGGCTAACAAAAACAAAACTACAAAACTAGAGAATGTTTGTCTATAGGCAATATATGGTGTATTTATTTATATACAAAGATATACACAATGATTTGTTTTATAATTGCTAAAATATGATGATAATTTCATTTCAAGCTTGGTAACGTACATATTTTCTACTAGAACATATTTCATAAAAATGAAATATATTATACCAAGTTTAATATTTATCTAATGATAAACTAAAAATGAGACCTTTAACTGAAAAAAAAAGGAAAGACTAACAAATTTCACAAATCAACTACAACTACATATGACATGATATGTCTACAAGCTATACATTACATGTATGCATAAAAATCTGATTTTATAATTACGTATGTGATGACAATGTCATTTCTTGCTCGGTAATGTACATGGATTTTATAAAAAAAGAAATATACTCCACCAAGTGCAACTATTTATTTAAATAATATAACTAAAAATGTGACGGCAATTAACCTCAACAATCTAAAAGACTACATAACAATTTTTGTAATTTTCGGGATTCAACTACAAGTCTAGAGCAGGACTTGTCTGCAAGCTAGTCAGATACAAATTCTAAACTACTAGTCAAACCCATATAAAACAACTCTTTGTAAATGCTATAATAAATTTCCAAATATGTTACAAAATGGGGAAGTCCATTAAGAGAAATCAACACAGATTTTATCCTTAGTTGTGTAACCATGTTGAATTCAAAAGTTTGTAGGTCGAAGTAGTCTTACAAATATTCACGCAAGTTTGAAAAGATACCATATATAATAATTCTTCACTAAATTATTCAGTTTTAGAATAGAAAAGGATTTAATGCTTCACCTCACAAAAATACAACCAGGAATTGAACACTACTAGATTTAATACCATTCTAAGGTGTAAAAAGAATTATGAGTTTGTGGGTCAAAGATACATATATGTATCAAACTAAATAGAATTGTGTCTTTTTCAATAGAGTAGACTTTGGTGGGATGTACGCATATTGAAATTTTCAAGTGTCAATTCAAGGTTTTAACAAGTTCTTCCTTCCAGTAATCCTTGAACCTGTATCAGTTCCCACCAGTTTGGATCATAACATGTAACGGCTACAATTACAATACCTATCTATTTTTTATGATTATCTACTTCACAACTTGCTAAATGTTATACTCAACAATCAATCATCAAAAGGAAAAAGTCAGTGAACAAAGTACGTAATTAGAATAAATGTCATAATCAATCAATAACTGACTTCTCTCTGAAATTGTAAAAGAATTCTCCGTTTGCTCCAAAACCAGAAGAAAATTGTGACTGAGACTTAGATGTGTCACCAATGACTAGAAAATGCTTTTCTTCAATCTTTTGAACATTCTCTTGTCCACAACAAAAGGGAATATGATAAATAATCAAAGGATTAGGATTATTACCTGCAGGCAAGTTGCAATCTTTAAATGCCACAAGATCGTTCTCCACTGAGCTGGAAAGGATAACAAACAAATATTTACTTTTCAAAATAAGACCAAGACAACTGTGGGCTTTTGAAGATTTCTTGTTAGATTGGAAGACAATATTCTATTAGAGTGGACAGAAGAACCATACAGATGCAAACCAGCAGTCAGCAGAAAATACTTAATCATTGCCAAGAAAAGAAGCAACAGGACTCATTCATGGGATTATGTCATTTATCACGTTTAACACTCACAAAAACAACAATACGAGTGTTCAACTTGAGTACATGACTTTTTATTCAACTTTTATAGGCCGCACTTCCATGACTATATTTACTTGACACGAATTTGTAGGGTCAGCAAGTAAAATAAATAAATAAATGAAAGTACGGAGCAAAGATGAGAGAGTCCTTCAATTCCATTACATGAAATTTAATATCTAGGACTAAAAGAGAATGACTTCTACTGCTCCAAGAATTCTGATCATCATCTGATTTTTAAAAAGACTACTAAGAAGCCAATTAACACGAACAATTGAATGTGAAGTATCTAATAACCTTGGTAATCCTTGCTTTGTAACAAATTCAACCAATGGGATGAAAATATTTTCTAGTGTAGAATTAAGTAATACAAAATTGAATATAAAAGGATAGGTTAGGAAAATAATATGGTTTCTGATCAATATACAACTTTTTAGCGAAGGCAGAATTGATCAAAAGTACACAACAGTAACTATGGATATAATCTTACAATCAAGTTACAAGATATATAACTGATTCAAACCGTCTCATGCAAATATATTAGCAGAGAGAATCTCTACAAGTGCCTCCAGAGGCTAAAATAAATCAGCAAGATGCATGCAATGAGCTTGACACCTAAGAGCAAATCATCCATAGCAATCCTACAGCTTCCAATGTAGTAACAAATAACAGCATCTATGTTTCTTTTGGATGGGATGTGAAAGCACATGTATTAACACATGCATTCCATACTTTGTTGACGTGCATGAAAACATGTAAAAATGTCACTTTGTGCACATGCAGCAAGACCCACATGCATGTGTGCCCACAAACATATGCTGAGGAAGAAGAGGATCAACAATTATTGTACCTCATATTATGGTTGCATGGTTGCATCAACTTTTCTAGCAATTATTGCAACATTTCTCGGGGATAATGCTGGATCAAAAATAGGTAACATGACTACTTCCAGTTTATTGACCTGCTCTTGGAGGAACAACAATCTATCGAGAAGAATAAAAGTTTCCAGAAGAGGCCCCAAAGCAGCTCGTAGAGACCAGTAAACTCCAACAAGCTCCTGTACGTAATAAGCATGATTATCAGAACTCTGATGGCATGTTCACATGCATAAGCAATTCATATTTTTATACTTGCTTCCCCATGAAAGCGCACCTATGACAGTAATAATAGACTCTAGCTTGTTTCCTAAAAATGAAAGCATCCTAAAAATTTACTGGTTTAATTAAACCAAATAGAATAGACCCAAAAAAAAAGGTCATCTTTCTGATTTCATTCATTTTTTGAATGTTGGAATTACAAATAATGATCAATTTTGCATACATTAATTTTTCTTCCATTCACAACAAGTTCAATATTTTCTGCATTTCTAACAGGTTTCTTTCATTTTTTCTTCTCAAACTCGGTCTAAACCTTCATAGACCTAATTGGGCAACAAAACTAAATAGTTTAGGCAATTCAACCTTCAAAGTTCAAACAGAGGAATATCTTCGAATGCTAAGATAAAGACATAGGGTTGGGAAGGAACAAAAGGTGAGAAAAAAAATTCAGGAAGCCTGCTGGTGTAACAATGATATAATTACACAACTCAAACCTAACATGATTGAGTTGCTAGAAAAATCCAGACCAAATCAATACAAACCCAAACCCACTGAACCTAAATTAGTACAGAACAAATTCATTGGTGTCCACTTTGAAAGTCTAGGGACTGAAAATTACATGATTGCTTGTGTAACAGTAGTGCTTTTCAATCCAAACTCCTTTTTCTTGGATTCTCATTTTCTGTTAGCTGGATTCAAGCCCAAATTGAAATACCCAAGTGTCAGCTGTTATTATGACAATCCTAATGAGAAAAAATTCCACTAATCTAAAATCCAATATTAAAATATTTTCAACATTGTCTATGTGACCCTGATTGATGATTCTGTCATCTCTTTGAAAATTGGAAATACAAGATTAATTGCTAAGATATCTTAAGGTATTTCTTGCCAATAAGAAGCACAATCACTTTCTAACTTCTTTCCTTCACAAAAAGTCAAGTGTTGAAAGTCATTTCTTCTAAGAGAAAGTCACTGATTATTTTAATGATGGAAACTTAGCTTCTTCAATTTTAACTAAATTTGTGCTACTCCTCTTGCAATCAATGGCCATAGGACAAACCCTAAAATTTCTCAACTGACAATCATGTAGTGGGATTTGCTTGCAACACCAAATGTGATTGACTCCAAAAGGCAAAAATACTGTTTCATGAAATATTTTCTCTGTGCTTGTAATCAGAAACAAATTACATACAGTTTACTCATCAAAACAATC